AAGGGTTAAAATTTCCACTGGTTCCAGGGGGTTGGTGGGGGGGGGGGGGGAATGATCCTAGACAGTTAAAGCTCTGATATGAATTATCACTTTGCATCTGACCATATATGATGGCATTTTACTGCTTAAATTTAACATTCATTAGCAATGTTTTCATGTAATTTGCAAGTGAAAAGAACATTTTATAGTCCTAATGTAAGCTTTCTAGCTACCTACCAGCATGTCTTTTATTAGATGTAGATAAAACCACAGAATGAAAGGTTATTTTATTTTCTTGTTAAAGGAACGATCTGAAATTCTATCTCTCGTGTGCATTTAGCTATAATTAAGTGTTTTTTTAGCTGTTGCTTTATACGAATTGTTCTCTATGGGGTTTCCTTCTCCTTGTGTATTTACAGCGAAACGGTACATTGAGACTGATCCTGCCAGCCGAGATAAGAGAACTCCAGTCACACTCATTAAACAAGGATTTGAGCCTCCCACCTTCTCCGGCTGGTTCCTGGGCTGGGATGACGACTACTGGTCTGTTGATCCTTTACAGAGAGCAATGGCGGATGTGGATGTCTAAGTACAAAGGGGGTTGTTTTTTGGAAAAATTTTTTTTAATAGAGCAAGTTTAGTGCCTTCAAGAGCTATTTCCTCCTGCAGGATGCACATTAACAAGGCAATAATTTTAATAGCCAATTAGCTGTGCAATGATTACCAAAAGAATCATGACCTGTCATACTGCCCTCCCCCTTGCTTTGATTATATTTAATACAATAAAGCTTGTATTGTATATGTGAAGACTAAAAAACGTTGATTTTGTTACGAGGAGGAAAGGTTAAACAGAAGCTATAGGTCCAGAGTTTAAATTTTTTGAAACAAATACACCTTAAACAAAAATCTATACTTTCCTTGTGCCATTTTTTTGAAAGTGTACTTTCTACCAAATGTTCACAGAAAAGACGCTTTTGATTTTTAGGTTGTTTTTGCTTTTTTCCCACCTCCAAAATTATCAGAAGCATTTGAGACCCTGATAAGTTAACACGATGCTAGTTCTTCAACAAGTCCATCAATAGTAAGTAGCATGATTTTTTTTTATTCAAGAGGAGAACAAAACGTGTGCCACTGTTGTCAACATGAATTCACATGGGTGGCTAAGCTACAACAGTAGCAGTGGGAGTTACAGATTCTCTTCTCTTCCCAGCGGATTAATGGCAAGCAATTACTTTGTTTCTCATTGCAAGTGCGTGAATACAGAAATGCTAGTTATTACAGCTTGATTAGCCCTATTTCTTCCCCTCAAAAAAACAAAAAGTAACCCTCCCCCCAACTTACTTATATTAACCAAACTCCGAACACACATGCAGACTGGTGTATTGCTTTTATGATGCAGAGGAAAATAAAATCTATTCACAACAGACAAGAAAACAAGAAGCAGCAACAACTAGCTCAAGCTCTTACAGCTCTTACAGATGCTCAGGCATCTTTTTTTTCTAAATCTAGGATCAGTTTGCCGCTTTTAATCACGATACACTTAAACAGACCTTGTGGTTACTAAAAATACAGAACTGATCATGGCAGAAAGGTGATTAAAAACAAGATACAAACTTTATGCTGGCCAGTGTGAGAACAAGGACACTTAATCATCTGTCTTGGGTTTTCATTTTCATCTCCCACTAGATGCTGGTAGCCTGAGCCTTCCCTCAATGTGGCCTCTGATTCTTATCTGCCTTTAATCTGTAGTTTTAGCTGCTAAACATATGCAAAGTATGACAACAGTTTAACAGATAAGCATATGAAGACTACAGAAACTGAAAAAATTATCTACTTTTGGTAAAACCAAAGTATAAACCCCTGGCATCACAACCAATAACGCAGGTCTGCTGAGATGCAGCATCAACAGGTAAATAGCTACCACTCTGTTAGAACAGATAAGTAAGAGGTACAGCATCTTCTCTTAACCACCCCTCCATCTAATTTCAGATATTTCTAATTTCAGATATTTCTTATTTGCCAACAGAGAACTTCTCAACCCCAATAGAGAACTTCAGCTGTAGTCTTTCAAGCATGACTAAAATTAAGACAGGAAACCTATTTACAAGAGTCATTACTCTGGTACCCTTTTCTCTTTTTTTAGAAAAAGATTTTTAAAAGAGAAGCAGTACAAATAAAGGCATTCCCAGGGACTTTTCAGTGCTTTAAAGAGGCACAAATCTATGTGGACAAGCCACCCTGACAACAGGTTAGCGCATCAGTGACTACAAGCATATTGTATCCATAACTACAGCCTGTCCATGCCATGTCCATTTCATTTCAGTAATGTTGGCTAATAACTAGTCCTTGTAAATGGGAAATCGTTTTAGGAAGCTGTGAGCCTGATTTTCAGAAGTAGCTAATACCCAGTCCTCCGTCCACTGTTGTTATTGTCCTAATGTAAGCTAAAGGACTAGTCCATATGACAATGATCCAAGAAGACTCCATCTCATATAGCTACAGTCCAAGAGAATATAGTTTGGGGCTGTTTCCCTTCCCTTACAGGGCCGCAGGTCCTTTTATTAAAAGGAATACTTCTCTCAAATTATGCATGGCTTTTGAAAGTAACCGCCTCTCAAGTGCTGGATCATTGCCTCATCCTCCACCCAAGTGGTTGTATATACTATTTGAAAATAGGTTACAGATTATAGGTTTGTCATCCAGGACAGCATGAACACGTGTTAAGATCACAATCTGCTTGAACCAATTCTGATAGATTTTGAATCTTAAATATTTTGATTATCCAAATTAACAAACATTAGATACAAGTTTTCTCATCATACACTCAATATAACAAAAAAGCTGTCTCAGAAAACCCATTTATGCTAACAATGCCTTAAGCTCTAATACACAGATAATTCAGTTTTGCAGACATTCTCTGTGAGGCGGAAAAAAAAATTCTTCTTTCCAATGCATCTAGCAATTTACACCTATAACACCCTGCAGCATATCTATGGGCAATGGAAAGACGATGGTGGAGTTCTTTTCTGCAGCAATGGTGGTCAAGGTCTGCAAATAACGAAGCTGAAGAGCAGCAGGGGACTCTGTAATAACCATGGATGCCTCTTTTAGGGCCCTGGAAGCATTCATTTCACCCTCAGCTGCAATTACCTGTGAAACAAAATGAATAAAATAAACAGAAGATATCTGGCACAAGGGTAAACTATTTCTCTGATGCCTTCAGTCTTAAGTCATAAACCAGAAATATCACTTACTACTTTGATGAAGTGACTTCCCCTTATTATAGCCTTTCACTGGTTCTGCCTTTTCTCTCACTCAGATATAAGCTACTTTTATTTGCTTTCAAGGCCCTGTATACCTATTTTTTCCCCCCTCACATTCAGAATCAGGATGCCACTTTAAAAGCTGGCATCGTAATTCACTTATTGCATTTTCTAAACTCATTTGCTCTATTTCCAAAAAACTGCTTTTGTGCTTCTTCCAACACTGCCTCTCACAAAAGGAACGTATGCCCCATATATACCTGCAAATACTTCTTAATCAAAGCTATACTTTTTTTTGTTGTCTCTAGAAAGAGCTTAAAAAAACAAGTGAATGGCATATTTCTTACCAGGAAATACCTTTTTAATTCCCTTACTCTTAAATTATGAACTCATTAGAGCATAAACAGATTTGTGGTCATTAATTTCTTTCACGTATAGGGCCCTTCCATGTTAGGACAACACATATTGTCCTAGGGTATCTATAAAGTAAGCCTGGATAGGAGGACAGCACTATTTTAACAGGTAGTGTTGTACTGGCATTGGTGAGGCAAAGGAAATGTATGTCAGCAGAGGCAAGTGCCACGTTCCCCTACAGAGTTCTATAGCCAGGATTCAATATTCTTTAACCATCAGGATAAATTATAAAATAAAATCATAAAATAATTAAACTTCAAAAAAAGTTCTATAGCCAGGATTCAATATTCTTTAACCATCAGGATAAATTATAAAATAAAATCATAAAATAATTAAACTTCAAAAAAAGATTTAGAAGTTTATATTTTGAGCGTTAACATAGGCTTAAAGACCTTTTCCTAGGTGCACCACCAAGTTTGTAATTGCGAGCCCCTCAGTCTAATGAAATTGTTTAGAACTTATATTGGTTTTCTATGAAAATATAAAACAAATTTTATGATTAGAACCTAAATTGGGTTTAAGAAACTCAAAACTAAGTGGAAGACCAAAATCAATCTCATATATATATATACACACACATACATATATACATATATATACACACACACATATATATAAAATCACATTTGTGTGTTAAGATTATGAACATCATAAAATCAGATGCAATTTTCACAGCATTAAATGAGTTGTAAATAAACCTCCCTTTGCCAAGACAAATTTTTAATATTTACAATGCAAGTTCCATTTTTGTGCAGACAGAAACCTCAAAATAGGTCATTAATATCTACCAAAAAACTTAATGTATCAGCTTAGTATACCAAAAACCAGAATATTTAGGGTTTTTTTTTTTTTTGGCTACTAGTATTTTAACAGAAGCTATAGCTGCATCTGTGGAGGTCAAAATAAGCTTTCAAGATAGGATTAACAAACCATCAGAGATGACAAATTCAAGGGCATAAAACACTAAGTGAGAAAGCTACCTTGCGAGTCCTAAAAAAATATAGTTCTAACTATTCCTGAGGATTTTAGACTTCTAGTCTTGAGTATTTAAAAATCACCCTCTCCCACCATGGGAGGGAAAACGGTATCATGACCAAACTGGTCAGCTGAAAGGTGATGAAACCAATATTACTGCTGTTTTACTTCTTAGATGCAGAAATTGAAAACAAGGTACCTACCGAAAAATCAGGTCTAGTTAGAAGAAAAGCTGGAAACAGCTTAGCTCCTAATTCACTGCAGGCTCCAGCTAATAATCTCAAAATTACTCTGTTTATGATTTGTTCTTGGAGCAGGGTAAAAATTTAGTATTCTAAATTTCTTAAGAAAACTCCAACTGTGTGATCCAAAATAAAAGAGAGAAAGCACCCAGACACAGATTCATGAAAATCTTGTCCTGCATGCATATTGACCACAACCCAATCTGGCTGAGAATTTTTATTATTAACACCACCACAGGACATTATTGGGGGGGGTGGGGTGGAGAGGGGAGCAGGGAAGAAGAAACATCCCCCCTCCTGTTGAAGCTATTACCTTAGCTCTTGCCTCCCGGGCAGCTTCTGCTTCTGCAGCCATTGCTCTCTGCAGTTGGACAGGTAATTTCACATCCTTGATCTCCACGCGTTCCACCTTAATGCCCCAATCATCTGTTGCCTCATCAAGTGTGGCCTGTTTAAGGCAGGACAATTAAGTTAAACAATCCACTTAGCTGCAAACAAATGTCCAAATTTGAAGAAGGACTAAACAAATGAATTATCTTACAATTCTTGGATTTTCTATGTAGGGGCTTTAGTATTTGAGCTATGCTTTTATACTTATCAAAGCATGACTGTTGTAAACTAACACTTTAAAACAAAGCTTGATTAGTTTAAGAAAGGGACTCTGTGGCATCATTGCCTTCAACAGCAGAGTATTGACTTAATGATCCAGGAAAGCCTTCCTCTTCTATATCCTTCTTCCCACTTGCTTGTCTCACTGGTACATAATTGCTTTATTCACTTATTTTTATTATACAGAATGTCATCCCAATAGCTCTCGATAGTGTTTTTTCTAAAGCTCCACATCCCAACTTGGTTTGCCTTCTAAGTGATAAGTCAAGTCCTGACCTGTAAGTTACCCATAGGATTGCTGCTTAACTTATGATTCAGTGGATTGCTACAGTAAGGCTCCTCATACCTGCATGCTGTGTGCAATTTCTTCACGATCAGAGAGAATCTGAGAAAGGTTTTTAGTCCCCAGAACATTCCTCAGAGTAGTCTGTGCTAGCAGGCGAGTGGCTGAGTCAGCATTTGTTATGTTTGCTACAGCAAGGGTGGCATTCTGGACTCTGTAATAAACCACTCCATCTACATTAACTGTCACAGAGTCCTTGGTCAAGATCTAAAAAAACAATGAGGAAAACAATTAAGCAGAATAATTATTGAATCTAATGATAGTGACATGCTTGTCTTACTGGACACAGTCCTAATTTTGTCACAGTAAAGCAACTGTCTTGAGAAAAAAACCAAACATATTATACCTATGTGCATATACATACGCACAGTCCTTCCAGTATAGCTCTGTCAAAGTGGGACTAAAGATGGGATTATAACACTCATTGCAAAATATTACAGCAATGCTAATGGAATTTATGTTACATATAACTCACTTCTTCAAATTCACAGAAGGACTTGCAATTCATGCAAGCGACAAAAGAAAAAAAAATCAGAAATAATTCACACCAAAATACACATGGTCTTTCATGTGGTAAACTTTGCTAGTTTCATAGTAATAGGTTAGTGTACCATAACCAAGCAGCAAAAAAAAAAAAAAAAAAAGTCTATTTCAGTGAGGCTTACAGCAGATATATAAGAGGCAGGTTGACTCTATAGGAATTCAAGAGGAATGCATAATTAAGGACCAAGCTGCAAGAACGTTAATGAAAATTGAAAGGACTAACACTCCAAGAATTACTTTGTTTAAATGCAGAGATATGGGACCATTCCATTTAAAATGGGCTAAATCACATTCCCTAGTTAAAAATATAAAGTAGAAACATCAAAGAAAGGCTCATTTGATGTTTTCTACAGAGAAAGAAGGCTAACAATATGAATACCATTGCAAATATAGAACACCTGAGATTCTCACTTCCACTTAACTTCAGTCACAAGACTATTGATGACACAAGATATGTCTGTCTGGCTGTGTCAGTTTATAAAACAAGGGCAAAATAGGCAACCTATTTAAAAAGCAGGTGAGGAAAGAGGAAGTGTATTTCAGCTGCACTTTCAAAGAAATGCCACAAATGGGAGTTTCCCATACGGCAGGTGTGAATGTCATTGAAGGCAGTTCTCAATTGCTGCTTATTCTGTAACATGGGAATGGTCAATGCCAGAGACTCTACCACAGCAACGGCTGTGCAAGTTACTTTTGGAAATTGCAAAACCTTTAAAAAAGGGATCTTGCTATATAATGCTATACCATAGAGATTTCTGCTTAATTCCCAGCTTGTGACTAATTAATGCCCTGAAATACTGAAATCTGGGAAGTACTTTCCCAATTTCAGAAAAACAGTGCTTGCAGGTACAGAATAAAAACTTTAATCCTTTCTTATTACTACAGGATATTACAGTCAGAAGCTTTCTACAATCCACAGATATTTATATGCTGTGTGACACAGCAACCCAAATGGAGCAAGAAGCACTCAGCTGCATGAACCCACTTATAAAGACAGCATTTTAACTTAAAAAAAAAAAAAAAAAAAAAGAAAAAAAGGATCACTATGCATATTTATTTCACGACACTTCTTCGAACGATTAGGATTAGAAGAAGGTCCAGTTTGCTACTGAAATGCATCCTCATTGGCTGGCTGAAGAGGTTTTGTGTTTTTCCGTTTTACATGCCAATAAAAAACACAAAACTATAACTGCTCATATAGCAATCTAGCTAGTATCCTCACAAAAGCCTTTTTGCTGCCTTGAGCCCTCAACTGCTTATATAATTTTTAAATATTTCCCAAAGAGTGAAGTATACTACTGTTCATCAAGTTAAGAGCCTTAATACTGTACATCCTCAGATGTGGAAAAGTATGACATGGCATTACTTAAAAAGTCAACTAAACTAATAAAAAGCTTTAGCTGTAATAAAAGATTAAAAAAAAAATGATAGCACCAAGAACATCTCTCCTTTAAGTTTAGAGAAAGAGAGAGCCACCCACATGAGGTATTCTAGAAAAGACTGGAAGGTTTCACTGAAGTATGATTTAGCTACTTACAAAATTGGTTTTGCCAGCCAAAGGCCTGCTATAGTTCAGCTACCTGGGTATCAGCCATAGTTGTGCATTTAATTAGAAATATCTCCATTATGATCTAGCTGCTTATTGCCCTTCTTCGAGGTACTTCCAATTTAAATCTCACTGTATGCTATTAATTTAATATATGGTGATTTCTTAGACAAGCTGCAGAGGAAATCCAACTTGTGAACATCCTCAGGGCTAGATTCAAGTGGTGTACTGAATTTTACTCTTGTACGTTAAGCAGAGGATGCACTTGCAAAGATAAAGACAGATATTCTTGAAGGTCTAGGGATAAAGTGACTGAAGAAAGAGGGTACACTAATATTTTTCACTTAACTTTAAAAAAAAAAAAAAAAACCACCAAAATATGCCATATGACCATGGGAAGAGGTGTCCTAATCCCTTGTCAGAAGATTTTGCAAAGAAGTTATTTGGCAAGAGAGGGGGCTGTGAGCTACTTGACATTCAAGACTTACTTGCTTTGTGCTTCCCCGATCTATTGGTTTTAGCAGGCTTTTCACAGTAGTGTAAGGCAGAAATCATGTTGTACAAATAAAAATGTATTTTCGCTTTTACCTATTGAAAACAAACAAACCTAAACCCATACGCATAATTTAATCAAGTCGAAAGAAAAACTGTAGAACTGATGGGTTCACTAATGGTACACCAGCAGCTGCAATCACATTAGGTCTGCCAGTGATTAGGTTTCTACCAATTACCCTTTTAGACTATACTATGACAGTTGCCATTTGTCTAAATCTGCAACTAATGATGAGCCATAAACTGACTGGCAAATATGACAGGAAACAGATGCACGAGACAGGTTGCATCAAACAGCTTTGTCTTGCAATATACACCAGACACGTGGGGGATACAGTTATACTCATCAACACACAGTTGTTCAAGAACTTATTTTTTAGAAGGCTGCTTGTTTTTTATTCTTTTGTTATCTGTTGAGTCGGCATCATTTAATTCAACTAGCTTAATGCTGCTGAGAAACTCTGCTAAAAAATTAGTTTCCAAGAAAAACAGACTAGAAATATTGGTAATCCTTTTTTGCATTTCTTTAGGACTTTCAAACTCCAAGACATCAGAGGATGCTAGGTGGAGTACCCCTTCATAACGTTCCTGTGCATAGTAGGGCACAGGAGAAGCATGTACACTAAACCCATGTAAACTGTAAGACAGTGGGCCATTAACATGAGTTTCTATTAATAGCATTTGCTAATAACTTCATCCATTACTTTAACTAGTTTATATATCTAGATAAATTGACATAGGAAAGATCACTGCTTCTTTTCCACATTTCTCAGAAACAATGACAGAATCAAGCAGGAAGTCCAGCAGTCTTGATTCCAAATCACTCCCATTTCACTTAATAGACAGTATTATTATTATCTTATTTGTTCCTTAAAGGACAGTATAATTTGTTTTCTTTCATGGACCTTGTCTTATTGAACCATAATATAGGCTATATTCCTCACAGTACATTGAAGCTGCACAAATAGAAAGCAAGAGATCTACATGAAAACCACATCCTACCCAATACTGAGAGGGGGAAAGAAAGAAGAGGATACAAAAAATTCTGCAAACACTATCAGACACAAAGCTAAGTGCAAACTCACCTCTTGGGGTGGAATATCAAAAGAGATGGTCCTCATATCCACTTTGATGAAGCTGTCTGTGCAGGGCAGGACAAAGAACAAACCTGTACACAAAATCCATCCAACAGGGTGTGACAATGGGTCCTTAAGACAAACGAAACTTGCTACTGAAGTAAGCTTAAATCTAACCACTGTAGCTGTGGTTAGATTCTGTCATAAGCTCAGCAGCATGTTTGTTAGTGGCTTTAACACTGGAATAAGATTTTTAAAGGACTGTATGCTAAGAAAGTGTTTTATTCAGGTCCAACTTGTTTAGGAAAATAAAAAGAACTCCATTTCAGCTATTTTTGAAAATCTGCTCCCACATAGTAACTGTGGGGCCTAATTCTGCCAGGCAGAACTATCAACCTCTTTTTGTTCCTGTATATCACTGTATTTCTTCAACATTACAGCAATGTGAAAACATTTCAAAATCTTGAGGAAAATGATGGAAGAATGTACTGCCCCTTACAGTCACTTTGTGCAACAGGAACAACAGCTGAAAGCAACATTCTTTCAGACCTCATCAGAATTTCCAATATACAAAGGCAAGTTTTCAAAACTGTCAAACAATTGCTTCTATTTCTTTTGAACAACAGTGAGACTTTCAAACCACTTGGGCTTTAACTGAAATACTAAGCTTCTTTTTAAAAATGGCACATCTGATGCCATTATTTTTCCTTTCACATTCTGCACTTTTGATTCTACCTAAAGAATATGCATTAACTAAGGAGATTTGGGCAAGATTCACAGATAATTAGTTTACTATCTTCTCCGTATAAAGTAACGGCATCCTCTCACTGGGAGCTGAGAAATTCTTGAGAAATCCACTCACTAGTCTAAATACAATGCCTTTACACAGCTATTATTTTGCCAGTTATTTAATTAGAACAAATATGAACAATGCTGTACAGGACCTACCTGGTCCCTTTGCTCCCCCTTTTAAGATGCGTCCAAGTCTGAAGATGATAGCTCGCTCATATTCCTTTATAATCTGTAATAAAAGTTGGATATCATGCAGAGGTTTCCATAAGCCCAGAAGCCATATCAGATTCCAAACTACATATATAATAGTCTAAAACAGTCTCAGGTCTCATATGTAACATGTATTACATTTCATTTCTACATGGGATGCTTTTGAGAATTTTAGCTTAAACTCTATTGTCAAAAGCAAACAACAAAAGGAACAGTAATGACAATTTTCCTGAAGAAATATTCTTCAGACTGAGGCACCATCTATGAAGAGCAGAAGCAGCAGCAGCTTCATCTTGGCAGGACTGAGCACTAAGAACAGCCATCAGGAATGTCCTGGCAACAAGATGACAAATTGCAGTGGATGAGATCCAGCAGAGATTTTCCAGCTCTAATTCTGATGGGGTATATTAGCTGAAACAAAGCAGGATTTATTTCCTCCATTCTGGAAACTGGAAAACATCAAGCTCAAAGCGATTACAGATGACATATTCTTGTAAGAATCCGTCATACACATATTACTTATATATTTATATTATATACCTTATGTTTACACACATACCCTTAAGAATCAATCCCCCAAGATTAATAACTTATTCTTGCAATTATTCTGATCTTTCAAACTAGTTTATATACTAATGAACACTGCGTAGCAGTAGTAAAGATGCCAGCGTAAGCATCATTATGACTAAAACACTGTAATAACGCTTTTCTTTTTTGTTTGAAGATTAATGTAGTGAAATGTTGGGGATTGCCATATACTGCGCTACGGTTCAAGAAAGAACAGTTAGATTCACTTGTTTTTTTAAAAAAAATAAGTAATACAGTGAACAGTAATAACCACTAGGAAGTATTTGTATTGTTTAAATTTTTAGTCCAACTTGTCAGGGAACAATTACCTTTATGCACATCCAGATTGATATAGGAAATGTAATAACAGTGAAAAAAAATGAAATGACCACCAGGATCCATCCACACAAACCAAGGCCAGTATTAGAGTCATCTGGAAGAGAAAAGCAGAAATTAAGATTTTAAAACTAAGCGTGCCTGCTAGAAAAAGCAACTACCTTGTTATATTTATGTCGAATATCCCTTGAAATAAGTCATTGTTAGGACTACTAGTCTGGCCAAACTCACTAGGTTAGGTCAGAAGTCGAACTGCAAGCCAAATTCCGCTTTCATTTCCACTGAAGTCTCTAGGATTTGCTAAAGGCATGGTCCAAATAATATTCATGCAGAACTGAAGTATGCTCTTTCATAGACACACCTGTAACTAACAGGTTTAAATATAGACTCTCAAATACCTCCTTTTCCCCAATTTTCTCTAGCAAAATGACCAATAAGCAATAGTAGAAATCCCATTCTTTCTAAACACACTGTACAAAGAAGTCAGAGCCACACTTACTAAATAATGGGTAAGACAGAAATACCCTATGGCCTATCAAACAACTTTAGTGAGAGTGCACATAAAATTTGATTTCTGTTCCAACCGTCATTGATATGGGTCTGAGAAAACCACCATTCCCAATTCTGCTTTATCTAGGAAGTAGAATAAGGGGTAGCACAGGATTAGCTGGCCACAGAAATAAGGTATCTATAAAGCATTTCTTGGAACGCTTAGCAGCAAACATTATAGTTTTCTGTCATGAAATGGCATTTCTTACCTATACCAACTGAAGATATTTCCAGAAGCAACAAAACCCCAAAACTAGTGGTTTCAAATACTATAGAGCTAAAAAAAAGCAGAGTATCATGAGAAAATACAGACATGCCATCACGCATTCATAAAGCAAAAGGAAGTTTCTTATCCTGCCAACTAAGACTCTCAATAAGCTGCCAAGAGCCCATTGCCAAGCAGGGAGATCCCAGGCTGAAACTGAGCACTCACAATCATCATATTCCTACTACAGAGATTAGAACAGTGATACTGAAACCCATCTTCCTCACTCCATCCTTAAAAAAAAAAAGAAGCTCAAAATGCCAAGAAGCATGCAAAGCTTAGAATACAATTTTCACATTTAGATGAAAGAATGTCTCTTTAGGATCACACTTCTTGATTTTGCTAAACTATAAATACACCCTTACAGTGCTGCAAATACACAATTATTATCTTATCTCGATCAACACCACAACTACTTAAAGGACAGGAGCCTTATTATCTAGGGAACTGTGTTCAGTAACTTGTTTAAAATAGATATCGCATTAAAGAATCTACAACTTTCAGTTCAGCTCTACCTGGAGTTACAGATTGCTTTCTACATTCACTAGACACAAAGACAATTATTATTCATTTATTATTTGTACAACAATATAGACCATTTATAAGAAACATGTCTCTGAGTCCCCACCCTAACAATTATTGTCAGTAGATGTCCTTTTATAATAGAGCAAAATCTCAATTTTGAAAAAAATCCATTGATTTTAACAGCTCCAGATAGATGAGTCAGCATTCTGGGGGGCCGAGCACCCACAACTGAATTCAGCAAGAGCATATGTGCCATGGATAAAAAGGGAGGCAAGAGATGAGTCACTAGATATCGCTAACCTCGAAAGCAAATAAAAGTATATATTTTGCAAGTTTCCATTCGTAATAGTTGACTAAAGTAAAAGGAGTCAGGAAAAGGACTAGGAACGGGTATTCCAACTTCCAGTCCTCTTTTCCACAGATGGCGAGCCTGAGAAGGCCTAGCCTTTCAAGTAAGACTGAATAGGGAGATAGAGCAGAATTGTACGTTTTGATTCGCACAGTATCTTGAACTTTATAAAGTTTTTCAAGACTTCCAAAGGCAGTTTTATCCTTCACTATAATAACCCTCACAGCATTTTAAAGTTCCTCTATGGAACGTTAATTCAGGATATTGCCCCATAAAGTTATTGCTACAGAATGGAAATACCACATTTCCAGGTCTTCTGTGAAAGTCAAGGAAATGTAATACCTGTACAGCTCTGTATTAAGCAACTGTCAGCATTAAGCAACACCTGCAAACTCATTACTGAAGGGAACGCATTTTTTTCATTTTACAAGAAGATATTAGTCCACCTAGTATCACAAAAAGTATTCACCGTCTACACAGATAGGGAAGAAAAGTCTCCCTCTCTCTTTCACTAACTTTTGTAAACCTAAAGGAGTTAAAGGTCCACTCTACAATTTAATGTCAAGGCTTCCACACCATCAATTTCTCTGCTCTTAGTAGAACTACAGCATTAAAAATAAAAATACGAAATAGTATTTACTCATTTGTTTCCCTGATGAACATGACAATTTACATTGAGTCTTAACCTCTGCCTTCAAGATTTCAAATAAACGCACAATTTATTTAGCAACAATAACTCTCCCATTAAGCAGTATAACTCACAGTACAAGAAATGTCTGAGATGTTCTCTCATAAAAACACATATAGAATACAAGAAACATGCTTCGCCTATATGAAATGAGCTTTTTATTATCGCAAACTTCAAACATCCCTTTCACGGCATTGCAGTAACTTCGATAACAACCGGCCATTCTTGTCAGACCTCTCGGTCAGGTTCATTGATGCTGGAACCTAAATAACAGGTAGTTCAACAGCACTGAAGTGAGACTCACAAATAAATGCAAAGACAGTGCAAGTATATATAATACACAGTCTCCGCTGCACCTCTTGTGGATTAGGCCTATCCCTTTCCACTTAGTGTTTACATGGCACTCAGTGCTGCCTACCTGGCTAGGCCTCCTCCCAGCTCTTTCACCCCTCATAGATGCGCATCTTTCAACAGAGGAAAAATGCAGTGTCTTTGTGTTTTGCAGATCATGACAAAAAACAGCTCTAAGAGATATTTCTTCCATTAAATCCCCAAACAACTGGGGAGCTACTGAGAATAGACTTGCAACGTATTTTGTGATCCAGAGGCAACGCATGAATGAAAAGGATCATCTTTAATTTCTTGTACGTTTCTGTAGCACTCAAGATTATTAGCTCAAGAGCTAGAGTGAAAATAAAGAAAACTGCTTTTGTAGTGAAAGTTCTGCTTGGAGACTCCAGAGAACTGTGCTTTGCTTCTTCCTCAGCCAGAATTCCCCATGTGACATTTTTGATACTGTTACATAATCAAACTCAAAAAGGGGAAATGCAATTTACTCCTCCCAAGGAAAAAAGCCAAACCTTATTCATACCACAGATGTATGATCATTAACAATAATTGCTGATATATATTTAAATATTAATATACTGTAATGTATGCAGCTGCTGAAAAAAACAATGAGAAAAGACATAAGACAATGGCTTCAAAAAGACACCGTCAAAAACACAGATGATGTTAAAAATATGCAGATTGCACTGCATTTTCACCATTCCTACTGCTGTTGAAGCTGATCCTGATTTTAGAGGTACTGTAACTTTCAGAGATAGGGTATAAAAAATGTAATAATGAAAGAAAAAAAATAAATCAATGATTGCATTACAGCAGTTACTATTAATCACAGAACTGATATTTATCAGAAGGATCACGTATGTTTAAAATATCCTTTAATGAAAGAAAAGTAAACTCCGTTCTAACTATTTATAGCAGTCCTGAAAAGATGCTCAAAGCTCCACTTACCTCGAAACAAGCTCAACTCCACCATCTCCAACCATCCCACTAGAATTTTCTCATAGATATAAAACAGCACACAAATAAAAGAATAGGAAAAAAACTCCACCACACCCTAGAATTCATTTAATTAAATAAGTCAACTTAGTTACAAGATAAGGGTACAGATTTACCCAGCACTACCACGCTGACATTCAAAGTTCCAGAAATGGTAATTTCTTTTAGATTTACATACAATGTTTAGTTTCCTTAAGAGGCTCTAAGGCTTCAAAGTTATTAAAAACAAATTTAGGGAACTGCAAAATATGATGTCATTCCAAGAGATTACTTTCAGAGCTATGACCTAGGCCTATGAAAACAGGCAAGAATTGTTTCTAGTCTCAAGCAATTCACAACTTTCATCTTTTCTCTTAGAAACAACGTTGAGTTTAGGACTGACTGAGCAGATATATCCGTAACAACTAGTTGTGGGAATAGTACATTAAAGGTAGCATATGTGGAATGAAATTAAAATTTATCCATAACACAGTGGGAGATCCTAAATTTTCCAAAAAAATACTGATTTCAATCTGAAAATGGGCATTTGAAGTAGCCATACCGACAGAGGAAGATGAGTAATAAAAAACAGTCTAAAAATAAATCCAATTTATTTGAATATAAATAGTATTATAATACTTTATTAGAACAAATACAAATGCTTAATAGTTTCTCTTAGCTATTTTAGCTATCAGGGATAGCTAAGTTTTCAAAGCAACTGTTAACATAATTAAGCCTTGCAACCCCAACGTTAAATAAGTTGTGGCAGCAATTCTCCATGCTGCAGATGATGATGAGGCACCAACAGCAGAACGTCCATTTTTTCACTAGTAGCAACTCTGGCTTCTCAGCTTCAGTTATCTCTAGCTTGATTTTCTAAAGCCTTAAACACTGTCATACACCCCAAAGCGTATATTCATCCACTCCCGACTTTTCTCACTCTCTAGCAATGTTCTTGCCCTTTACTATCAACACATTCACAACTCACACCTGAAACTTAAATCAGAGAAGTCGTATTTGTGGAGAGTCTGCAATAAATTCTGTCTGTCCTTAAGAAATAAACCACAGAGAAGAAAGAGCATTAAAAACATTTTAACTGAATTAGCCTGGACATCTCCAAGGCTGACCAGAAGAGTTGCTGTTACTTTAGCAAGAAGTTATCACCTGATTCGTTCAACAATATTAACAATTTATAACAAATACCTACTGCTAGGGGCTGAGATAAAACAGGAACTTATCTTATTACTGCTTTAGGTGTGGCACACCCTTCACTCACAATTCATTTTTCCTAGGCTAGATCAGACAATTTGAACAAATACATCACTGCCAATAGCAAGAATGTGCCTGACTCGTAGTCGCTGCAGTGGGAAAGAACCTTCCTCCAGCATCATGCATAACCCACCAGATTTAAAACAAAATACATGAGAGATTAGACTGGACTGAATACAAGGCTGACAGTAACAGAGAGAAATCTCTTTCAGCTCCAACCCAGGACAGTTTGAGAGTGATGCAATTATATGACGATTACTCAACTGTTTGCTAATTAATACAGAATGCTACTTTTGATGAGAACTCAATGTTTCTTAAGAATATCTCAAAGCATTTCACATGGGAGATGTCCAAAGTTATTATGTCTGATTAATTAAATTATTATGTCTAATGCCTATTTAGTGTGTAGATGCTTACGACAAAAATAATTGCCAAGCAGCTTTAGCTGCCAAAACAATACAAATCACACAATAACTACAGAAGAAACAGGATCAGTAGCTTGTAGATTGAAAAGCTTGCAGAGTCACAGATGAGATGGTGAGGATCAGAGTGACCACTGCTAGATATTAATAACTAACATACTTAAGCGAGAATGAAACGTAGATCCTTTCCAAGGATACCACAACAAAGCATGTGCCATTAGGCATGGGGCCCAAACAGAGCTGCTGATATTTATACAACTCAGATTGCCCTTTGTGTCTAAGCAATCTTATACATACATTTCCTTCTCCAGTTGCCACTGATAAAACGCAAAATAAATCATTGCTTTTCTGTAATCTGTTTCTGAACATCACCTATTTAACAGAAAAATGCTGCAGCTTCAAGCGATGACTGAAGCTGAAACTACTAGTTACCTTATTTTAGTGCACTTCTGCAAATCTTACCCTCACACCTTCTAACCAAAAGGCCAACAAACGCTAGACTAACTTCTGCCTCGTCTAATGACTGCTACAGATCTAAGAAGAAAAAGCGAACTACAGCTTCTCTGCCCAACTTGAGAAAACATAGCAATCTTTTGCTAATCTTTTCCTCCAGTTACACCTTTCCAACATTTTGCTCAGGTCAAAGGCACTAATGGTGTAAACAACCAGTTTACAGTTCTCAAACTCTTTCTGTTCTCGTGTACAGATCCTGTTCCTCCGGGGTTACTTCTGTCGACTAGGCTCTTAATTATTTGTTGGCTTCACATCCCAGTGACCCATCTGAGTCACTGCACAGGCGAAAATAAAACAAGAAAAACCCCAAGTTACACAAGCACAGCAAATTTACGGTACTTTCTTTTCCTGCTAGGTTTCAAGCAGGAAACCGCGGCGCTGTCAGGCAATAGCGGGGAGTGACGGTTTCCAACCACCTGTCGGCTTTCGCCCCGCTTTTCCAGCCCGGCGCGGGGTCTCGCCCGGCCCGAGGGGCGGCCGGGGCCGGGCTGC